GCAGGCATGGTGTCTCTGCAGTAATGGCTTAATCTTTCGGTCCCTGAATTTTGTCTCCAAGTGTTTAGGCTGTGGGACAGGCTTCCCTTTTCCGTGGCGTCTCTGATAGCTGCACAGCCTTCAATGCAGAGACAAGTAATGTGTTTTAAAATACCCAATAATACATAAGCAATCTTTCGTAGTGGCCATCAAAACTAGTGCAATTTGGTCTCTTTCACACAGCAGTCAGTACTAATCAAGACATTGAAACATGGCCCACAAGTGCACATACATACAGTTTCTGCAAGCACGTTTCTACTTACATGTACATGCATGTACCATTGGTAACCGCTGATGTGACCAACCTGAGAGAGTTGGTGCTGAGGCATCAACCAGGCCAGTCCAACCATTATTTACCGGTGTGCATTCGATCAAAAATGGTCTGAACTGTGGTTAATCATAGTTCTTTATTGACGTCAAGTCTGATGGAGTTTATGGAGCAGATTAAAAAACACTTAGTTTTTATTTTTTCCAAGCAATATCTTACCCATATTCAGTCATGCAGACGCAGAAGAAAATGTCTAGTTCACCAACAGGTCATCTTTTTACCACTGGAATTTGTCGTCTGTGAATTTTTATCCCGATTTAATTTAAAACTTCACCAAACCGCAGAGAATTAACGGTCCCCTCTTCCAGTACTGCTGTATTCCTCAGTGACAGTACATTGAGTGCTATTGTTGATCAGGGACACGTAAGTGCAAAAGTAACATGGCATTTGTTGCTGCAGTGCAGTTTATCTACTTTGGAAGTCATGTTTTGGAGGACAGCAGGGAAGTGTGCTCCCTGCAATACATTATCTAACACATACCGGTATATCATCAGTATTTGGCTTTGAAATAACTTTCATTAACAACTTTGTTAAAATGTGGTTGAAACTGCAAGTTTCAGATTGGGCATAGAAAACTCCTAGAAATGTAAGATGCTGCTCTGTATTCCTGTGGGAAGTACAGTGTTTTAATTTAGCTCGACTGGATCCCACAAAATGAGTCTTGGGGCCATTTTTGTTTGATGGACGGACAGATCAAGCAGAGCTCCTTGCTTTTGGCATCCTAATGAAACTGGGCATCGTGTGGGTGAATATGTGGAGAGTTCCTATGAAGTTACATTGTGCAAGATTCCTTGAACTCCAGAGAGGCTCTAGCAATTTGTGTCTCATTTTGTTAGGTTGGGTGATAATGATTTATAGGTGTATAGACTGTACATCACAGACTATTGACCCCTAGCACGTATTTCTATGCCGAAAAATAAATACCTTTAAAAAAACTGTCTTGGTACTTGACGAAGAAAAAAGATTGTAATACTGTAGAAATGTGAAAAAAATAAGAATACTGCTGTGGTAGAGAGCAAGGTATCTACATGTTTACAGGGTGATTAAGTTTTTCTCTAAATTATATGAATGTTGCCGTCCGTCGTCGGTAGTAGTTTCTTTTAAACTGAGTAGCATTGAGTGGAATGTGGTACACCGAGGTTGTTTTCCAGTTCATATTGCATGCACCTGGAAAAGCAAACATAATTTGTTACATACTGCACTGTCCAGTACGATTTTGAAGAAAGGTTTCTTCACACGTGATTCTATGTAGCCATGAGTAAATTTCATTATGAAGTTATGCTAGTTCATCACCAGCATGAAAATATTTATTCCGACTGTCATTGAAGTAAGCTAATTCGGTATTCGGTTCACCATCCACATGCGTATATCATGTATATTGTATATAGAACAGTAATATGTCACAGGAGGGTTTTTATATTTATTTCGAAAGCCCCAAATACTTTCTTTGGCAGGACACTAAGATATACTTCCTCATCCATTATTTACTGGTCTTCTCTAAGCAGGGAGGTAGCCGTTTTTGGTGTCATTTGCACGCTAAGGTGTCACAAGTGCTACCGACATGACATGTATTATTGAAAGTACCGCTCATACAGCGAACCATTTTTGATATTAAACACTTTGGGATACTTTTGATGCCCTACCTGGTGTCATCAGGCCAGAATTCTGCTCTCTGCACTTGTAAATATTAATCTCTTGTCAGGTGTGCCTCATGAATATTTATTAAATGTCTGTGAAACTTGAAACGATGCCCAGGTTATTTTTGTCCGAGCTTTGCTTTTCCTTTGTCAATTAATCATTGCAGTAGCACCCTTGCCAAATATTGAGGTGATGTTTTTGTGACATATTTGTATATTTTGGATTCAATGTCGATAAATCAGCACTTGAAAACAGAAGGACAGACATGTAAAGGTACACACGGTCACATTATGTCACTAAACAGTATTTTATCTCACTGAAACATTTACTTTTCCAATTCATACACTTGAAATGTTGGATCAAAGAGGTAGCATTCAAATGCTAACATGTTGGACGGATTTGAAGATTTCTTTTCTGTACAGTATTTACAGTTTGACACTAAATTAAACTTTTACAGTTCTGGAATGTGGCTGTATGACCTACACACTGAAAAGGGGCTTTTAAGATAGAGATTGAAAGAGGAGAAAAGCCTTGAGTAATTTTGACTGGATTTTAAAAGTTAAAGATATGAAATGGCATCATGCTTTGTGTTCCGGGAGCCATGTGTAGACATGCTGCGGCCATATTTCTCATTCTTGTGAAGGTATTGTGGCAATATTACAAAACCTTTTCCACAGGTGTGTTCCATTCATGCAGATGTTTCCCACATTTGTATTCTTTTTTAAAACAGGCGCATCCCCCAAAACAGTTTTTAAATTTGAACGTGTTCCACTTGAGTTTCCGTCTGCTAGACGTTCACCTTACTAAGTTACAGTTGTTACACTTGACTATAAGAAAAGTTGCATTCCCATGTTGAATAGCACGGGAGGTGCTGTCCCTCTCGGCTCCCATAAGGAATAAAAATGAAGTATGTAACTTGAGGCCATTATGTCTCAGGTTTATGCACAGGTTGCTATTCTTTGGCCAAGAATAACAGTGTCTAGGCACCAAACTTCAGAGTTTGAGTCGTAAGCCTTTTTTTTTCCCTTTCCTTCACAGTAGTTAGTGCACCAAGTGAATGTGACTCACCTAGCATGAGATAGGGGCCTGATGTCTGCAAAATGGAAGTCAATATGAAGGCAGAGGCAAGGGGACAATGCCCCCTCGAATGAGACAACTCAAATGTCAGATCCCTCATCTTGCAGACAAAGTAAATGTCAAGCCATCTTCAAGAGCTGCCAAATGGTAGTTCTGTAGTCTTACCGTGTAAATAACTGTTTTAGCTTTTGGTTTACTTTGTATTGGATTATCAAACAAGTGTGACCACACTAGACTGAAGGTATACATCTTGAGCCTTCATGAAAAACCTGGGGTTGTGAATAGAAAACATTTGAAACTTTCAAGGGATTTGGAAAGATGGCTGGCACCGCATTAGCCCCGCACTTCACAAGTACAGCTCTTTGTTACATCAGGAGTTTCTGTGAGACAAATTGGGTTCATGCAAGGTAAACAGTCACTCTGAATAATGCAAGAAGGGCATGTACCATGAAAAGGCCAACTGTAAATCTGTGACCACGTGATGAGCTCAGCCATCAAACCACACCATCCCCCCCCCACTCCAATTTCAACTCGTTAATCTTGCTGCACCAGTCGCTTGGGCAACGGATTCACCAGCATGCTCTCCATGCACTCAAACACTGTGTGGGGGTCCTGATCAGCATTGATGTGCTGTGCGTCCTCGTAGAAATCTGCGATCTCTTCGGCGTAGGCGTAGTACTGCGACAGGCGGTTGCGCACGATCTCTTCCGCGTCCTTTGGGTGCTGGATGGAGCGGTCTTTGATGCGGTTGGTGCGGGGCGGGTTGTACAGGGCGTGGTACTGACTGCCTGTGACCACATCCAATGAGCGCAGCGTTAGGCGTTCGTACACAGAGTCATTGGGAACGTCCAGGAAAAACACCCTGTTAAAATGAACATTCAAAGACCATGGTTGGTATTTTGTTTATTTTTAAAGTAAGCTTTCATATGACTATACAGCAGTCACATCTAAAGTCTGGCCTCGACATTAACGGTTGTCTGATGGCCGCCGAGAAGTAATTTCTTCGTTCAGGCAAGTAAAAATTAAGGACAAATTGCCCGACAGGTACTTTTTTCTTGAAATAAAAGTGTCCATTTTTCGTGGTCAAGAATACCAGTCAGTAAATTTACCTTTATTTTTTTTCCTATTCACAAAGGCTTATAAAAAGTGAGCAGCTATGTGGTGTACGATTTTCTGCATCTTTACGTACATGTATATTTACAAACTTGTGTGTATAAAGCACGCTGTACATTTAGTAGGGCACCTTTCCACGCACAGGAAAATCTTCGCACTGGGTACCAAGCATCATTGGCTATTGCATACGCGCCGTAGCGGAACTTTGACGGCCGGAAGCTCTTAGTTACATGTAGCTGTGACTTCAACATTGAGTAAATTTTGCCTGGTACTTGTGCGTGTACTTTTTGCATAATGACAACCAGGCAAAATCATTGAGTGGTTAATAGCCATTGCCCGAACTTGTATGAAAGATGCATCAGAGTCCTGTGCACTCGCTGCATACGTGCAATAGTTGGGGCTGATGTGTATTCATGTTGTATTGTTGGCGTAGCAATTTCACCAATGGTAATTGGTTGAAGGATCTTACTGTCCCGTGCCAAATGATATCCGGTGTAATGGTCTCATTTATACGCCGTGCTCGGATATCCAGATAGCAAACGAACGATTTGGGCAAGTAAAATGTACTTGGGCAAGTAATTTTCAGCGCTACTTGCCCAATGGACAAGCAGATTAAAAAAATTAATGTTGAAGCAAAAAAATCAGTGTGTGAATTGATGACTGAAGTCGCCTGTGAAGTTTTAAACTCATCAATTCAAGTGTGTCACATGAAACAAAAAATTAGTCCCAATGTGTTAATTTAGGGAGGGCGTGAAAACTGCTGCAGAGGGTTTTAGAGCAAAATTATGGTATACTGCACAATTTAACCTGCTTCATATTTGTGATACTACAAGCAACTAGTCTGAGATTGCCCCAATGAGCCTATCAACTCACCTGTTTGGTTCATGACCAATCTTGGACAGGTTCTCGGCCTGTTCCCTGGTCCGGGGGAAGCCGCGCAGCACCCAGCCCCTGGTCACGCAGTCCAGCTGGGCCAGTCGCTCGTCCAGGATCTTGATCATCAGGTTGTCTGGCACTGGAGCAAATGGTGTGTAAATGACGAATCGGTTAAGAAATTTCTGATTTTTTCAAATTTCCAAATGACTTTTTTTTCCCTTCTTGTCCATCTCTGTTGTAGCCAGTTCTTATCCCATCAGTTCTTATCACAGCGCATCACATGCAATGGGTATTCTGCACCCAATCCGTTTCACTGTTTTCTTGGGAATTTTTGGCTACTTTTGAGAAAAGACCTGCTCACCGGTAAACACTAACGGAATGGTTTGACTCACCTAGCATATTCCTTTCCACGTAAGGTTTAATGGCCTCTCCAATCTTGGACTCATTAGCGATTGCTTCCTGTACAAGTTGACCGGATGACACTGCAGACAAACCAAGTATGAGCCATTTGACTAGTTATTCCATGTTTTTATGATGTAGAAGGTAGGAAAACACTTGGTAAGCCTTAAAAATAGAAATCAATTTGCTTGAAGTTTGGCCAACCACAATTTTTATACAAGAAATAATCCTCAACCTACGATTGACAATATGAGAAACAATTACTGTAAATATGGTAAACCCTGACATCTCTGCTTGGAAGACAGCACCTAAGAGTTATGTTATAGTTGGTAGATTATACAAATGTCACCAATGTTCAAATGGTATATTTTTTGTATCATTCAAAGATATTTTACACATTTGGTGTTTGTATGCATGTCCACAACGAATCCGTAATATCAACACTTGTCTATACAGAGTAAAAATTAAGCATAAACCTACGTTATTTACACCGTTTATATATGCATTAAAGAAACTGAGTGCAGACTCACCGTTGATGATGTTGTACTTGCTTGCAATCAACGCTGCCTGCACGCTCTTACCGCTGCCCGTTGGCCCCAGCAGAACAATACGCGGTGTGTGGGGAGCAAGGGAACGTTTCTGACTGCTCAGGAATGTCATGACTGGAGGAATGAAGAATATCAAGTGAGTGGGCATCTGACTTCTATTGAACTTATGACACAATGTTAGTACATGTATTTGTTTTTAAGGATGACCAATACAATGAAACGGTGATAATTTGTGGGTGTCCATGATGCATTCAATTTTAATTACATTATCAAAGTAGAAGTCTTCCTGCATTCTCCCAAATTCTCCACCAGCAACAGAGTTTTTGCTAGGATTCAACTTCAGTAACCCTGCACAATCTCCAACGACCTCCCCACTGATTCCCAAGGATGCAGGGGTGAAAACACAAAGTCGTTTCACATGTGTACTTCCCCTTTTCATTAGCTTGAAATGACTGTGAATATTTCCATTCCCCTCCAGATGGGATGCTAATCCCATTGCAGGTTACTCCCAGCCCGCACCCATTTGTATTCCTGGCAAGGAGAGAGGCAACTTGGGTAAAGTGGCTTGCCAAAGGACACAACACATGGGCAGCAGCTACATGTAGATTCAAAGCCTGGACCGCTTGATCCGAAGTCATAAACCCTAACCAGGAGTGTAAGAGTTAAAAGATCTATGCAGTTGCATTGTCTTTCACTACATTTCTTGAAAATGCACATTTGTGTTTTAATTAATCTGGTTTCAATATTTACATTGCCATTTTAAAAGGTATGTAGGGTGCCTATTTATTTTTATGCTGACGCCACTTTCCACATTCATGAACAAACCTGTGATGTTATTCCGGGGAAAATATTGCTTTGATATGTGTATGCAACACGGCTGGAATTTTGGATATTTGCCGTTCTGTTATTCTCTCTATTGATTCATTGTTGACTACTTGGCAATAAGTCAGCGAGCTAATGCTTTTAATGAGTAAATCGGGGATTCACAATTTAAACAGAAGGCCCTGTAAACTGAGCAACGCCTTCCCTGATTGATATCACAGCAGCAACACCCTCTGTTGTCATGAAAGACATTCACAATGTGAACTGTTTAAGTAAGTGCACTTTTCAGAGCACTTTGCCCCCAAAATATGTCATATTGTTTTCATACACTGACGAATAAAAAGCTGCACAAAGAACAGGTCTACAAAAATTTCATCTAATGGATCTTTCTGATTCATTCCTGAATGCATGTACAGCAGTGCAGTGACCAATACGCTACACATACCCTGTGAGAACACATCGGCCTTGGGCTGGTCGGCATTGATGGCCTTGTAGCTCTTGTTGTAGCAGCTCTGTAAGCCATGGGCGTGGCGGTGGTACACTACCAGACGGGCCACCGTGGCCTCCTCGCCGCATCCCTCGGTGGGCTCCACCAACCGACGCTCCACTTCGCTGCCCGCTGGGTAGTCAAAGGTGGTGTGGTATACATCTAGGGACAGGAGAGTTAGAAATGGAAAGTTGAATTGTTGAAGGGAGCTCAATGCTCTGCTAAACCTTTAACCATCTTGATGTCAACAATAAAAGCATTTCTGGTCTGTCCCACACTCACGGCATAATCAAAAACAGGCCATGTTACTAGGCACAACGACTTTATGGCAGGGACCCAGGTCACGAATAGCTGAAGCAAACTTTTCAAAATGGAAGTTGGTAAGAAAAATGGTTAAAAGACTATATCACCATGGGATGTGACTGAGTAATGTTTTTCTTCTATCCAGTGTTGCAGATGAGATCTCTAAAGATCATCTTAAGACCACAAGACCCGCTATGAGTCTGAATTCAAGTCACAAGCTATTCAAATAAATTGCAATAAAAAACATTCCTTTGTCACTGTTCACCCTGTCACTTGTCTTGTGTGTCATCTAGCGATGGTCTCAAATACAGGAATATTCTAAACTGAAGATTTAGAAAAGACATGTTTGGCACCAGCGAGCTCAGTAGCAAAGTGTCTGCACGAGTAAGTAGGGGGTAGTGGGTTCGAGTCCAGCCAAGTGAATTTGTGAGATTTTTTTTTTTTACAAACCCAATAGACAACACTGAGTACACAGTGACATTAAAACAAAAACCAATACATCTTGAAGACATTAAATACACACTGACGAGGGACAAACCTCTCCATATCAACAAATAAATATTCAGCACTTCCCCACCTCCTGTTTCTGGGTCCACTCTCTTGCCCATCTGTCTCTCAATCAGAACGGTGTCCGGTGCCTCCAGGACAACTGCAGTGATTCAGACAGTCACAAAGGTCAATACCAGCAAATGCAGGACGGTGTGCTTGTTGTGCTTCTCCGTTTTGATAGTCCAAAACCTACACCTTGAGCTAAGTTAGGTTTGAGCACTTGCTTGTCCATATGATGTCGGATGTAAAGGTCAACTCACTGGTGTCACATTCTATGTGTATTTGAGATTCAGGCCAGTGAGACTACAGGGAATGCAGTATGCACTACGCACTCTGCAATCAATAAAGTTCAAATGTCTGCCCTCTTCGTGCTAAAAACACCATTTACTGTCAGAATATAAGTGCGACCTCACCTTAAACTTTTCACTTGAAGATTATTAATAGACTTCATGCACGAAACCCCATCAACAGTGATGATGAGAGACAACTAGCACGTGAATGCCCTTAGCACTGTGCACTCAGCACCCATGGGAAAATGCTCCAGTTGTGCACATTCAGACAAAAACCCAGCACCCGTGGGAAGATGCTCCAGTTTTGTGCTCATTCAGTTGAAAACTGGCCATGCATATCCCATTTATACATGCACAAACCAGAGCACCTAGACCAGTCCATGTAAACTCTCCTGAATGGTCAAACAATGCCATCTACTCTTCCTCGCAGGAGTCACTCAGCTAGGACAACTTCAGCAACATGAACATCAACCCCAATATTACTACATGGCAGCTGCACTGACTACCGAACCTACCGAAGTGTTTGGGTCCGATGCCCACCTCCTGCAGGGCCAGTGCTTGCTCCCGGGTCTGTGGGAATCCGTCTAACACCCAGCCTTTCTTGATGCAGTCAAACAGCTTCAGCCTGATGGACAGTAGCTCCACCCACAAGTTGGTTGGTATGGCCTGCCCATCAGAATTAAACCAAACCCTGAGGTAAGTTGTCTGAGCACAGTTTTATAGGGTCTATGCAATTAATTTTTCTTCAACACACTTTTTGACAACGTTAAAGGCTGACTCTTCTTCAATGTAAGAAAACTATTTGACATGATTTCAGGTTAAGAGTAGGGAAAAGTGCACTTTTTAACCATAAATATTTTGCATGCTCTTCCAGAAAAAAGACGGAACTGCGCCTGTGATTTTACTCAGGGGAGATTCTGTTCAGTTTATAGGTTTTCTGTTCAAATTATGAACCCAAACTGTGCTCAATGAAAACATACATGTATGAGAAAGGGGAGGCTCATTGCTCTGTATGTACACAACGATAAATTACCAAAGAACGTTCATGAAGAGATGGACTTTCAGGACAGAAAACTACAAAATTCCAGTAGCATGCGAATTCTGTAGTGGCTCATTCTTCAATAATTTCTTCCGGCAAAAACTATTGTCACAAATCTTCCTTTCAAATGTATACGGCCACAGGTATAATGTAATTTAATGCTTGTGAGACTGGCAGAGGGTGATGTCCGACAAACCTCATTCTGCTTGAGGTGGTCCTTGGCCCTTGCAGCCAGTGATGACACGTCGTCAGCCAGAAGCGTGTCCGGACTGATATACGCTGCACGCAGCTTGGTGCATACCATGCGGGCGATGGTGGTCTTGCCTGAAGCTGGAGGACCCTGGATAATGATAGCTGGAACTGAGGAAAGAAGAACAGTCCTGAATCAACTCAGCTTATGGATTCTGCATGATAGTTCAAATTGACTGATTTGACGAAGTCACTTGCATTCCAAAGTTCGACAAGACTCCACTTAGCGTGGATAACAATACTGGTTTTTTTATCGACTTACAACAAAAACAGGTTTTGTGCCAGGCCTAATGCTATCCGGTCAGTAATGGTGGTAGAGAATAATTCATTTCCGTGCAAGAGGCATGTGAGATAATGGAGAAGTAACAAAGTCAGTCATCTGAAACATGTATGTTTGTTTTCTCACCATCGTTGTTTTCTTTCTTCAACTCTTCCAGGAGATATTCCAATGGATCCTGAGGTTTTGCAACGATCACACCTTCCAGCAACCTCTGGTAACAATTCAAATACATGTGCACAAAGCGAGTTAAAAAGCGGAGACGGGGAAAGATTTTTAGGGGAAATTTGTGATAATTCAAGTTTCGGGAAAATGTGAAAACTTTTGGGAAGTTTTGCTTTGCTGCTTCATTTGATGAAATACACAAATACATGGCAACATTGCTGTAGCATAAATACCAATAGCTATGTTGACAACGACACATCTGGCCAACACATGTTATGGTTACACATTAGGCAGTGGATATTGTACCGTGAACTAGTTCTGATATGCTTTTGCTGCTGTAACTATTGCTGGCTTGGTACAGAACATGTAACTGAACAGGGGCTCGCACAACTCGACTGTTTGCCAACTTGACTAAGAACAATTCGACTAGGCCTAGGCCGACTGAGAAAACTTGACCGGTGGGACAACTCAACCATCTGTGCCTAAAAAATGGACAGACAACTCGACCGTTTTGAGAATCATCCACTGAGAGAATCTGTGTCGTTATGAGTGCATAAATGCATTTTACATTCACATCACCTAGACCTTTTCTCCAAATTCAAAAATAAAGAAAGGACTTTGACAATGACAAATTACAGTCTCCCGCACCGGCAATTTATGAGCCTCCCTAGGCCTACATCATGCCCTTGCATTCAACCATTTTTGAGGAAAATCACAAGTAGTAGGTACTAGATTATTACAATACCTTGTACAGCTCGAAAAGTCCATGCCTTTCGGCATATGTGCCAAACTGAGGAGGTATTCTTAAAGGCTTTTTAGTTTGATCCATTTTCTTCAGATCTTCCTAATTTTCGTGTGGAGCAAAGCGTCACGCATGAGCGTACGTACGTGAGCTAGCTATACGACGTACGCGCGTATCGTTGCCAGCAGTTGCCAGGGAGTCACAGCCGTACAATTCAGAGTCGTAACGGTTCATTGGTTAATATTTTGTTAAACCAACTCCTCTGAAGAGACGATTGCCTATTGGTTATTTAACTCTAAATCAGTGAGGGCGCTTGATAAAAGATGGCGGCGTCCATGGTAAACTGATCGAAAGTCGTATCGAGAAGATTTCAGATTTTTTATCTGCACCTACTACATGTAGGCCTACCCTGCGCCGTTAAGTGTTGTTGAAATTCAGTCACCACAATGGATTTGGTATGTTGTGCTCATTCAATTTCTAGAGGGCTCCGTAGACAAATGATGAAAGGCGAACGAGGCTTCGGCCATGTCGGCCTAGGCTACTTCAACTTGTACTTCGACTTTGAGAACTCTAACTTTTAAGTCTAACTTACAGTCTTCATGTTCTAGTCACTTATGACCGAGTAGTGACTTTGAGTTCTCGAAGTAGGGCCTAGGCCTAATCACGCTTCTTCTTTTGCTGGCTACTACATTTGCTAAGATTCTGGCTGTCATATCCCGTACTGCCAACCGCTATGTAAACTGAATAATGCGTGTCAATTTGCCCCTTTATTTTACCCCCTTTAGCACGATAAAAAGATTCACAAATTTCGAGTCTTAAAGCTTACCAGAAAAAGAATCCCTTCCAAGAACACCATTTTTTTGTCTTTGAGTAAGGTCGTGAATTGATCTACAATTGATCAATCAGATCACAGGTTTTGTAGCTCTTTCACCGCACATTGAATGATGATTGATACTACATAATGAGGGTGGTGTTCAGTAGAGATCTCATAGACTCATTTTTTAATAGGAAATTGTGATCAAAATTTGCTTTTCCACACGCTGTAGTTTCTCTTATGTCAAACTTCAAAATTTGGACATTGTATTTTTAACAAATTTAAGTGAGCCAGCATAGGTCCATTGAAATAAGGCATAGGCCTTGGCATAAATTAAGAGCAAAGATTTGATGAAAATCTCAATTTTAGGCTTTCAGTCAAAATTCACACTTATTTTATTGCACAAAATAATCAACAGTTTGCTCTGTATTACGGGCACAAAAAACTCCCAACCATCTCAAAATGTCCCCGCTTGAAATCAGTTTTTCTTTGCTTTGCAGATTTCAGTGGTATCCAAACTTACATCAAATGTTTATTATGATATGTCCTCCAAGATCACTTCAAAAGTTAAACAGAAAAATATAGTTGAAATGTATATTAGCCTCCTTAGCATTGACCAATTAGGTGCATTGTCAGCCTGGAGTGACTAGCGCCCTGTAAAAGACAAGGGTGAATTTCTCCTTTTACAAACTTTCATTCATACTGTGCATGCATAATTGACTTGTTGAGCAGGGAGGCCTACTTAAAAATATTCTTGAGAAAATTTTAAACTGATTTTTGACTGTTCACTTCATAAAGTGCATTTTTTGTTTGTCACTCAAACTCGTAATGCATTGCAAATGTTGAAACGGTTTACTGACAGTATGCGAATTTGATAAATTCAGTCTTTTGAGTGGAAATTTGAGCCTTGTGCAAATTTATGTTCTCATTTATAAAGAGCATGCTCAGTGCAAGTGAACTCAATCATAAGAGAGTGTAAATGATAATCAACTGATCAACTCAAGATGGCTGCAATCACTTTTGGACCAAGAAGTTTTGCTGTGGTACTTCATGGCTGTATACTCATACACTTTGGACCACAATGGGTCAATCTTCAAGATTGTATAAGTGTGTTGTGCTATTTGATCCTTTTATGCAAGGTCAAATTTCCAAGTCCAGAACACTCTGCTTACTGGGCATATTCAGTTGCCGTGCCGATACAAAACTTAGTACTGTTTTTTATTAAATACAAAGTGCCTTGCTTTGGGCTTCTTGTTGGATTGAAATAGTTTATAAAAAAAATTCACATTTTCATCACAATGTAATCATCATGACTGTATCTTAATGATATTTTTGATCAGGCATTAGGCCTGATGCAAAGTAGTGATGGTAGGGTTTGACTTTCCTTAATCGTAAGGCACCAAATTCTTGAAAACTGACCAAAAACTTTCCCATACAAATACATTCATCTTTCAGAATCCTGATGCAGATCTTGCCGTGCGAAAGAAGAAAAAGAAGAAGAAGAAAAGGAAACATGCAGAGACTCCAGCGGACTATGCCTGGATAAAAACTGAGCCTGAGACTGAGTGGTTGAGTGTACAAAGTCAGAATCTTGACTTTGGGACCATAGACAACAACCGAACCCTTGGTGCTCCCAAGGAAACAAGGAAGAAAAAAAAGAAGGTGAAATCTGAAGACCCAGTGGAAAATGTGCCCAGTGTGGATGCAGAAATGGTGTGTGATTTTGGCATCTCGGATAGCACTGATCATTCAGATGAGGCAAAGCAGATCCTTAAAAAGAAAAGGAAGAGGAAAAGAAAACGCTCTATTCTCCAGGAAGCACAGTCCGAGGAGACAAGTTCTATAGCGGGGGATTCACAGCAGGAGGTTCAAGATGGAGTTGAGGACTGTCCCTTGTCTTTCCGGGCTGAACCTCAATCACACAAATGCAAGAAGAACAAGAAGTGTAAGGTACAAGAGCAGCCGTCTCCAGGAACATTAACGGCAGATGTGGCCGAGTCACAACACATAATGCCTGCTGTTTCAGAGGCGACTAAGGAGAAAGTTGCTGATAAAAGCCGCAAGAAAAAGAAACACAAGGCAAAAGACCATCTTGACAGTCCGATGAGTACCGATGCGGATGGAGACCAGACTTCAGGGAAGATTACTGTGACTGACACAACTGAGGATGATGCAAGGCATAAGAAGAGAAAAAGGAAAGCCCAGGACAAGCTCAATGAACTGCACTACGAGGAACCCCAAGGGCTGGCAGATGCTAATTGCAAAAATCAAGATGACTTGGTCTCAGAGGGTGTGGGATACCCTGTGCGAATAAAGAAAGGAAAAAGAAAGAAGAAAGATTTGGATGAGCATTTGCAAACAGGAGGGAGTGCCGAATCACAGATTTCTCCTAATACTGTGGACATGCAGGAGAAGCTGTCATCGCAAGAGGAGGATCCCAAACCCAGGAAGAGAAAAAAGAAATCCACTGGTTGGAACAATGGTAATGATGACCCCATATGTCTGCAGTCGTCTGAAATAGAGATTGGTGAGCAAAAACTAGTGGATGGACATCTTCGCAAGGTAAAACTTACAGAGGCACGGCAAATCGCTGTCAGTGATCATACCCCTGTCACCCGATGAAAATGGCTCTCCGTCCCTGGACGAGTCTCCGGACCCCAGGGCAGTCCTCAGAAAGAATCCCTCACCGTATAAGGGTAGGAAAAAGGCCGGGGACAGAGGTCAGAGTTAGGGATCAACCGATGATCAGATCGGACTTCGGATCAGGCCGATGTTGGCCAACATCCGCAAAACATTAGACTTGACTCAATTCGGGATCTCTGTGACGTCTTCACTTTGGATACATATCGAGCACAGACATACAGTTGCATAGACCACCAGTCTTACGCATATAACTATGATTTTGAAAAGCATGGGCAAACAATGGGCAAATGGCAGTGCGTTCAGGGCATATTACACACAACACACTTATATATAATTTATATGTCTGTGATATCAATACCGCATGCCATTACTTGCTTGGTGTCCTCTTGTGTCCGCTTGGCTCAGTTTAGAAATCCTGCCATGACAAATCTGCCAACCGTTTGTACACAGCGAATGGCTGATTGGGCTCATCTACCAAAAGTGGTAGCAGCCAATCACATTGCTGGACTTGTTCTACTTCATTCCTACCTGCATTATAATGAACGAGTCTACGAGTCTGACTACTTTGATTGGTGGAAATTCCGTATACTGTACATTATGCAAGATCATGCCGTTTGTATGCAGTTTTGAATAACTACATATTACCGACGGGGGTCTGATCGGCTTATCCATCAAGTCGGACTTACTGACTGGTGACGTATGACAACATTGCACAATAAAGGCTATCAAATGAGGGTGCCTTATAAGGGTTATGCGAGCTGCCAGCTCGGAGGATGGTTTTTTTTGGCGGATTGAGTGCGCAGAATAAAAATAATGTGTACCCCGATAAAAATCTTTTTGACATCATGCCTAAATCCGACTTGATGCAAGTCTAGCAAAACATTGCATCTGCAAAATTTAGCCTTCCTTGCTGATATAATTGCTGATGTTAAATTGAAGAAAGGAAGAAACTCTGCATTCAGTTTTGGCAAACACATATGTCATATTTTTATTTGAGCTTTAATAAAAACTGTGTTTTTTCATTTGGTGAGATAAATGAACCATGAATAGTTGCTCATGCGCACTGCCAAAAACCGCAGTCGGCATGGCGCTGGGCTTTTGACAGTGCGTACGTGCAGTGTTATTCATGACTTTAGTGCATGAGGTGTGCTCGGAATTCTCAGGTAAGCCTGTCAGATTCTACAAGACTGGTTTTCTGGGAGGTCGTCTCGTGTGAATATAGGGCCCTCTATTGGTAGTGCTATTCGGCTGTGCTCGCCAGCGCATTTCGCCTGCACGGTGCACAGTCCAAAACAGTAAATCCAGTCTTGGGGCAAGACTAGCTCACTTCCTATTAAGGATGCGTTTTCAGTTATTGTCAGTAAAAAACATCGGACATCGGCCGATGTTCGCATTAGACCATCGGACAGTGGATCGGCAGTTAAAACCTACATTGGTTGATTCCTAGGTCAGAGTGGATGCTCCAAAGCTCCGGCTGCTGACAGGTTGTTGGAGGCCAAAGCATCGGTCTTTGCTGGCAAGATGGGGTGGTCCTCTGCTGCGGAAGAAGAGGACGAGTCATGGATTCAGGATCTTCCTTTCTACGTAGGAACTTCCACGTGTACTTCCTTGCGTAGAAAACCAATACAAAAAGAAGGTTTGCCCCCATTTACTTCATGATTTTTTCCACTACATATTTGAAGGTACAGTCCATCATTTGCAGTTACCCAAAATGTGATTGATGAAATGATTGTTGAAAGGCATACTTGGTCTGAAGATGGCTATCTGACAAAAAGAAAGTGAAGTTATTCTCTGGCAGGTTGTCATTTTGAAGAACACAGTGAAAGAAGTCCATTGCTAATGTTGCATCTAAAGATGCATTTTGGAAAATTGCTATAAGAAGATTTGTTGGTTTAGTATGTGACATCCCAAAGCTGCATTTGAACGTGAGAATGTGTCCCAGATGCCGAATGCAGGCACAGTTAATAACATGACTCGGTAACTTTTGATCTAAAATCGAAGCTCCTGAGCATTGTTTTCTTGGGAGTGTTCGATGAGCTGAAACTTCCTCAGGCTGGCTCGTATGAACCCTTCTTATGAGTTTGAGTAACTTTGTTGCCTCAAAGGAAGGTATTGACCAATAATGGACAGTACCGTGAAGTATTGGAATGCCAAACTAAAAAACTTAATCTGGAAAATCACACAAGAACCTTTGTGTCTTTTATCAAAACAAAAAGCAGAAACTAAGAAGTGCGTTGCTGATTACTGAGCCTTTTTTTTTCTCTTTATCTGTTTTTTTTTTAAGTTGAATGGCTTGAATTAAAGTACCTTTACTTGCTCCTGTGTGTTTGCACAAATAATCCATCTGCTTTCAACATTCAAAAAAGACATTTTTCAACCTCTCAGTGAACATACCAGCACAGTGCTACTGTACATTGATATCGATAGCAACTTCCAAATAATGGGTCTGGTCGCAGGAACTTTACAAACACCACAACTGAGGCTTTTTGATAGGGGGTGGTGAGAACAAAGTTAGGGATTTTGAGGATTTTGGGACTTAGCAACAACGAAAATTTATTTATTAACACTGAAAATGGGAGCAAAGTGATAACAAGGTATATTTACACTGTTTTAATGTAAGGATTAGGTACAAAAACAGCGCCCCCTAGTGTCACATGCTGTCAGCGCCCCCCTCCCTTTCATATTTCCTTGGCTGGGCACATTTTTTATTTATGTGTATGTCATCTCATCACAGACTTGTATTACTGCTGCCATGCGACAAAAAATGTGAAGCATTATCGTCAAAGAAAAAAAATCGGAACAAAAACAACAGGTGATCGTCAGGCGTTGCCATTTGTGCTCTGACAGCAGGTCCGTGTTTAAAGCCCTTTTGTGGGCCTTGATCATATTTTCAATCAGTGTTTGTTGGCTTGGTTTCTCTTCAGGAGTCGTGCTTAAAAAAGGATATTGGAAAGGTCACGAGGACAAGATCTTGAGAGAAAACATTGAGAACTTCTGCAAAGTAAGTGGGTATAAATCTAGATACCAAATCACCAGGAAATAAAGAGAAAAACTGCCAACCAGTGAAGTCACTTTGAAGGTGCTTTCGTGTTTTCATAGTTGCATGTTGGCATACTTTCTTTACCAGTTTTGGCTAATGGCTGATTTCACCAGTGTGGCATATTCAATGATAGAACATTGGACTTTCCATCAGTTGCCTGTTGGAATATTTGGTTGTACCAACTTCCCACAAAAGTAGAAAGAATACAGACATTTTTTACATCAAGTACAAAATAGAAAACGTGAAGGAAAAGTAGTTTTGGGCTTTACCGTTCAGGCATATGGTTTTAGTTGCATCAAAAATTTGCTTTAAGAACACAATTTTCTATCAAAATTATTGAATTTTTTTTAATTCACTGATTTTTCCATCCTAATATTTAATTTCCAAATAATCATTCAAATACTTAATAATCGATTGAATATATGAATATTTGGCAATGGTACAGCTCCATCCCTGAGCAAATATTATCTCAACACCCCAAAAGCTTTGTGCTTTCTGCCAAATTCACAAGTGTGTTCACCGTGCTTGGTTTATACCACAACTAGTTTTGCTGTTTAATGAGCACATTTATTAGCTTAGTAATATTTCCTTCTATAAATATTTCCTGTGGCTATTTTGGGGGGGAGAGGGGGAAACAGGCTCCAGTACTTGGCTTCATCTCCATCTCAGGCATCACCCACTGTTTTACCTCCCTGACGTTGAAGTCCTTGGTTCAATAATAAGTCATATGTACTGCCATCCAAGTGTTGAAACTATGTGCCATCCACCTTGAGCGGAAGCACTCCCTCATCCGTTGAACAGAGCCAGGTTGGTCTGGGATGTTCATTCTGCTAGTAGTGACTCGACTGCAGCATGTGCTTTTCACAGTCGTTGGTGAACCTGCAAAGAATAGTTCCAACCAAAGGAACCTGTGTTGCTTGGAAAATTGCCCCATATCTTGGTCCAGCTCAGGGTTCATAGACTGAACAAGTATTCTTATTCAGTTTAAACGCTAGTAGCCTCAAAGTGGGTATTGAATTCCGATATAAAGCTCGAGATGAAACCAGGTAGTGTGGAAACTTCTATATAGCTCCTTGGCTACAACTCTGTACTCAGTGACCCCAAGTTTGTGATTAATAAACCAATGAGATATGCAGAAGGGCTGATAAATGTGCATAAAGTTTGACAATGGTTATTTTCTGACAGAAATATGGCATTGACGATGTGAAGAAGGTAACCCACCCGCACCTGTTTGAAGAGAAACAAGCTCTCCTATGTCTCATACAGCAGAAGAAATTCTATCTTAAAATGTGTAAGTGAAACAAAAGGTGTCAACTACAATTGATGCACGAGGAATGGGTCTTGGACAATGCCAAGAAGTTTTCTCCATTGGGAATGGCAGTTTTAATGAAGCAAGAATTACCTACAATGCCATAGTGCTCAAATCTCAAAGTACTCAAATCCCCAAACAGATTTACTCGAGCAGTAGACCCAGTGCCAGGGTCGAGCCCATAGCAAGTCCAGTCAAAAATATGTTCACAGGTCCAATCACATATCCTCTTTGAAGCACCAGTCATAACTAAACAGGATGACAATGACGAAGGGATCGATTTTGTCACGGTCCATCTGAATTGCTTGTGATATGAGTTGTGACTGGCTTGCAATTGGCTCAGTACACCACAGTGTCGTCAGTGCCGTGTAAAAATGTGTCATCTCTCGTCCCTGTTCCAACTTGACATTACCTCATGTTTAGCCTGGAGTCTTATCCAGCGATACGGCTACACTAGGATGGTGCTGGAGTGAAGTCACATGAGAGATATGTGTGGAAAATCGGTGCTGATTAAACAGTGCAGACCTCAGGGGAAGACTAACAGTGTGGATAAAATTTTTTGGAAAGGGTGGCTGTTTTTGCTTGTGAAGTATTTAGCAGTTTTTAATTTCTTCCTGAAGCTTGAAGTTCTAATCTTAGCAGCTCTTTTCCCGAGGAAAAATTTCTCCTGTGAAGGAGACTTTGCTGAAATGAGCAGTTATCAATTGGTTCCTACTGTTGTTCTTTCAGTTATTAACCACTTCATGCCGGGGCATTTTGTAATGTTGATGATGCTGGGCCGGCATGACTATCATTTTTTCCGTTTTCAAAATCCTTCAAAAATTCATCATTTCATTTAATGGTCGTTTATAGCCGCACCAAGTAATCTTTAGGCCCTACTC